TTTTTTCCCATCCAGGGATTAGGATATGCCCTAAATGAAGCAAGTTTGCAGAGCCCCACGTGCAGTGCCTAGTGCTTATAGGCACCCAGTATCTGGCTTTCTAAACATAGCAGGTTTGCAGAGCACCCCATACAGTGCCTGGTGTGTAGGCACCCTGTGGCTGGCTGTCGAAATGGAGCAAGTTTGCAGAGCCCCTGGGCAGGCCTGGTGTTTTGAGGTGTCCTGTGTCTGTCTAAGTGGAACAGGTTTGCAGAGCCCCTTTACAGTGGCTGGCCATCCACATGGAGCAGTGCTTGGTGTATAGGCGCCCTGTGTCTGGCGTGGTCTCTGAGTCAGAGCATGAAGTCGTGCCCATGGCCCAGCCAGCCCTACCCGTCCTGGCCCTTGTGGAGCTCCCAGCCCTGGCCAGGGAGAGTGTGACTTCTCCTTGGGTGATAATCCCTTGGAATGGGGAAGCTACTGCACTCTGGCAGAGAACAAGTGTCTGTGGCTGAGTAGTAGCAAAGGCAACAGGACAATCAACAGAACGACGTCCCTGCTGCTGGCAGTCAGCCCTGCTCCCGTTTAGCCTGTGTCTGTTGCGAGGCTCTGTCTGGGGGGCCCAGAAATGCTAGTCTAGCTGTATTTTTGCTGGTTTTTTTTTTTTTTTACTGAATGTCAAGAAGCTTCAGTAGCAGTGAAGAGAGATCGCTTCCCCAGGCTCCAGCAGGGCGCTCATGGCAGAGTGGGACTAGGCGCTGGATCCACCAGCCAAGGAAGCTTCTTCTGAAAGTCGAGCTCACACCCTCCATTTCTAGAATCGTTGCTGTTTTTTTTTTTTTTTTACTGAATGTCAAGAAGCTTCAGGAGCAGTGAAGAGAGATCGCTTCCCCAGGCTCCAGCAGGGCGCTCATGGCAGAGTGGGACTAGGCGCTGGATCCACCAGCCGAGGAAGCTTCTTCTGAAAGTCGAGCTCACACCCTCCATTTCTAGAATCGTTGCTGTTGTTCGCTGCCAGCAAGGGGGCCCCCGACACATGACAATCTCATGCACCACAGAACAGAACGCTGCCCGGTCCTGCTGTTGTTGTTGTTGTTATGTGCCATCGAGTCGGTTCCTAACTCATAACGACCCCTCCTTGGGTTTCCGAGGTGGTATCATTACGGAAGTAGATTGCCCAACCTTCCTCCCGAGGAGTGACTGGTGGGTTTGAACCGCCAGCCTTCTGGTTAGCAATCAAGTGCCTTAGCCACTATGCTACCAGAGCTGCCCGGTCCTGCCCCCTCCCCATAATCCCTTGTGAATTGGAGCACTGTGATCCATAGAGTTTTCGTTAGTTGATTTTGGGAAGTGGCTCACCAGATCTTTCTTCCTAGTCTCTTTTAACCTGTTCGGCATCATAGCAACATGTATCCCCTCACTGACAGTGGCTTCCCATGAGGTGCACTGGCTGGGACTCAGAGCCAGGCATGGAAGGGAAGAGTTCTACTGCTGACCCACCAGTGTTATTCATCTGCCAGAGGTCCCATACTCCTTTGGGAAGCTCAGGCCTATGGAGTCTCCTCCCAGAAAATCCACACTACAGTTTGCAGGCAGCTGCACGTGTCCCTCGTCCATCATGGCGCCCAAGTTAAGAACTGGCTCTATGGAAGAGTCAGCCAGGAGCCGCACCTCCTGCCTAGTGGGGTCGGGGCAGCACATGGTGGGAGAGAAGGAGCATCTCATTTGGTCCCATTTTAAATACCAAGTCCAAGGGTGCTGGATCAGATGCCCTGCCCTTATGGTTGGCATCAGTCTCGCCCACCACCTTAGCCAGCTTCTTCAGGCAGGGCCACCAGGCCCCCATTCCTGCTCCTGGGTCAGCAGGTGCCCCTTCTCAGGAGTGTGCTTGTCTTTCTTTCAGAAACGGCTCCCACATCTGCATATTCATCTCCAGCCCGGAGTCTGGGGGACACCGGAATAACGCCTCTGTCCCCTTCTCATATCGTGGTAAGTAGTGTGTGTGTGTGTGTGTGTGTGTGGAGGTGGGGGAGGGCGGTGCTGCCTACCTTTGCTCTAGACAGCCCGTCACATTCATGGGCAGATATTAAACTGATCTGGTAGAAGCATGTGAGCCCAGATAGGCCCGTCTCATGCTGGGGGCCTGAGCAAGCTGACCTTGTCAGTCCTGACAACAACCACAGCTCATGTCTGTGAGCGCTTACCACATCAGCCCCACACTAAGTGCCTCACACCCGTGATCTCATTTAATCTTTACACAGCGGCACGATCCTTCCCCTTATACAGATGCAGAAACTGAGGTTAAGAGAGCTGATTTCGTGGGGTCATGACACTGCTGGTGAAACTGGGCCTGGGTTCCAAAGGATGATAATCAGGCTTCCTTTGGATGTAAGAACCAAATAATCAAAGCCATGTTCGGACTACGTATGGTGACTGTAGATATGGTGGAGAACCAGTGAGCTAGACGTGAAGCGCTCTGGTGAAACACGTGGGAGCTCACTTCAGAAGCAGCAGGTCGTCATCACAACCTGTGAGCTGTGGCTGGAGGGTGGGACAGGTCAGCGAGGCCTGTGCCCTTTGCCACATGTGGAGGGCTGAGTCTCAGGGTGGGAGGGAAAGGGCTCCATGCTTTCTGAGCTGCTTGTGACTGTGTGGCACCTTCTGGTGTCCACAGAGCCAGCCTTCCTGCTGGGGCTGGGGCTTCTGCAGCCACTGGTCTGGGGGCTGATGTGGGCAGGCAGGTGAGAGCAGCCTTTTAAAAAGCTGGGGCTCAGAGACTGGGGGTCTTCAGGTGGAGTGAGGCAGCCGACCGTGCTGGTGAATCCATGAGGCCGACCCTCCTGGTGACGGTGCCTTTGCCACCCGCAGTCCATTGTCCTGCCCTGAGCTCCAGCCAGGAGACGTGAGGAGGGCTCCACAAGCCCTGAGCAGGCTTGGAGCCCACTGCTCCCACTCTTCTTGGACTGAACGAGCAGATGGAAGCTGTAGGGCAGCTGGTCAGAGCCTCACACACAGCCCCCACAGGATGAGCACCCAGAGGGAAGGGCAGCTTTGCACGGGGGGCTTGCATCCCTAAGGAAGGCCCTGCTGAGCACTTTGGAGCCACCACTGGAAAGGGTCCCCACTTCTGGTTTTCAGGACTGTCCCCGGTTTAGCCCTGAAAGTCTTGCTCTTGGGCACTCTCCCAGTCCTGGGTGAACCAGGAGCATTGGTGCCAGTATCACCAGGTTCCTGACGGCTCCCTGGAACAGCTCGAGGGTTCACTTTGAGGCGCATGGGGGTGAGGACAAGGTGAGGAGAGGCCAGGTGGGTGGGGTTCACGCCCCTTTTCACCCAGTACGTGCCAAATCCAAACTTCATTGGTTTTCTAATTTAGAGACGAGGTCCAGCCAGGGTGCTCCTTAGAAGCCAGGGTGGCGAGGCTTTATCTCACATGTGTTGTGGAC